ATCCCATTCAAGCTGTTTAGTTTTAGAGACTTTTTCTAGTTGATTGCACAGATAAACAGTTCAGGAATCTCAAAGGAACCCAGGCTGGCTAATTTAGCTGTAAATCATCAGTCTAGTGCAAAAGAAATTTGCAGGACTAGGGCTCATAATTTTTTTACATAAATCTATCAGGAGTTTCAGAAGATGGTTGCTCAGCAATTGTTCCCTAGAGTATGAACCCCCATTTTACAAAGAAGAATACTCTAGACAAAAGGGCAAAGGAGTAATTACTCATCAGATAGAAATATTTAGTCCCTTAGACAAAAGCTGGTAACAGAGAACATCCAAATGAACCTGAATGTCAAGCACAGTGAGAGGTTCAGTCCAAGAGGACTTAACCATTATAATGCAAAGGCATGTAGGAGACAACAGAGCACAGTGGACTCTTATAGGTACCTTATTTGAATCCATGGTAGTGCTGGGGTTGGAGGCAGTGGCTTTGAATCCCACTTCTGACACCATGTAATGCAAACAATAAAGAACTGGGACTGCAAAGCAAACCAAAATTTTGAGGTCTTTAGGAATTCAAATCTGAGAGACACACATTCAGAAGGAACCTGAAATGTGCTCAAAGGGGGAGGAAAAAGACAGTTTTAAAGGCAGAAATTGCAGGCTTACATAAGTTTTTTTGAAAGAATTATGATTGCTATTAAAAAAATAGCTGATATTGGTTCATACAGGATGGATTATTATGTTAGTTGCTAGACTGGAGTTCAGCAAAATAAGCCTCATTCTGAGAACTGCGGTAGGATGTAGGCTCTTGTGGGTAGCACAGTCCAGAAATTCATTCTTCTGTCTACATAGACCTGTGCACACAGCCAATCTCTGCAGTAGCCTCCCAGCTCCACTTTAGGCCATTCTTGACTCCATTTAAGATGTTTCTTTTCACAAATGGCATGTAAATTCTATCTCAGTAAACTGGTACTTAAAACAATTTCCACGGTATAGTGTTTTCATATTTACAAACTAACAGGATTTCAATTATACTCACAATTCATTACAAAAAATTTGTTAGCCATAACATTCAAAGCTTTAGAAATAAGAAATTATGTTTGACTTAAAAAATAATTTGTATTTCTATTCAATAGTAATACATGTTTGTTATAGAAATCTCAGGAATTATAGATAAGGAAAAAAACATTTAAAAAATGTTTGCATCTTTTAATAGTCACATCTGCTATGTAGTCTATCCCTAAACTTTCCCTGTACTTAACTGCTTCCTTGGTATCCATATTTTTCCCACCAGCTTTTATTAGTAGTAAATAGCTTTTCATGGCCATCTTAGGAAAACAGTGAGATTTAAAATATCTTCTTATAAGACTTGTTTAGTGAAAGCATTGGCTTTTCCCCCCAGACTATGAGAGATGTACATGAAGGTGAGCAATAACATCATTACCTAAAAAAGAATACAATACATATATTGCAGAATAGCTTTTGAAAAACAGTCAGTTTGGGATTTTGTTTTAAAAATTTGCTTTAAAACATGGATTTCAAGTGAAAAGTTGAAATCGTTGATAAATAATATGGCACTGGTTCTTTTGTAGGTGGAATTAAAAAAAACTCTTGTTATCATATTTAGCATTAACTTTCTAACAGCTAAAATTGTTCATAACACAGTTTAAAGATAAATGCAGTATCAGGCTTTGAGTTTTTTTTTTTTTTTTGTAAATATTAAGACCTGAGTACAAAATGAGGGCTGTATTGTGGATTAAGTGAAATATCTCAAGGCTGTGCTGTTCTGATAACTGAACCTGAAGTGACCTTTCTCAGACACAATTACAGAGCTGTATGTTTTTCCTTTAATTTCATCAGGGGTTTAATTAGTATACAAATAAAACTTCCCTTATCTTCCTTTCTACCTAATTGGCTTGTCTTCGCTTATATATGAAGTATGTGAAAGTGGGCTGTAATTAGGGTGACCGTGTTAACCTTTTTTCCTCAAACGTACTGTTGCCTAAAGGCCTCAAGGCCTGAAAACAGTGCTTTGGATTATTGCTTTGCAATCACGATGGCTGTCCCATAGGTTTTCTCATGAGCAGAAGGGCTTTGGGTGCTGCAAGTTCCCACTGCTTAACAGGATCTTCATTCTTCTCCCCACTAAATGTTTATTGATTATCTCGCTGTTCCAGGCTCAGCCTCCAACAACTTAATATCAGGTGACAGTCAGGAGAGTTCTCCAAGTAATTAGAGTTGAGCATTGGGGGAACAATTAGGAGCAGAGTTATTAAACTTGATTTATCCTATTCTCTCCTGAACAGTTTCTTGGATATCAGAACATCACACTTTCACAATCTACCCTGGTTGAGAAATTAGTGGCTAACCTGCTGCTTATCATTGTTGCCTTGCTGCCTGGAGGCACACCCTCTTGGTTTCAGTCGTTTGGTTGGAAATATTAGAGTCCATAAAGTTTATCATGGGTTTTAATTAGATAAATCTGAACAGGAAAAAGAAAAGTTAAACTTAAAAATTTTCATATATATTACATATGATGTAGATATATATGTGTTACTATATATATGTATATTAAATACATATTTCTTTCTTTAAAATTCAGTGTTAGGATTTTTAAAGAGTCTACTTTTGTCATCAGAAACTAAAAAGGTGAGTATTAGGGAAAAGACATTATTGAATCATTGTTATGTCTTGGTGTTTTGCACACAATTCCATGAATCTTAGGATCCATTGATGTGTAGAGACTCCATTGTGATGTCCCTCAACTCTTTACAATGAGAATACTGTGTGTAAGTTAAATAATTATGAAAATTCTTTTTTCTAAAAATGATGTTATCTTTTCATTTTCACACTAAGGAAGTGTGATCTATATCACTTTATTTTACTGCTTTTTGTTAATTTTCTGTAATTTCAGTTTTAGAGTAAACTATTCAGCTATGCCTCTGAAATAGTGCAAGTTTTAGGAGTTGGGTGGCTTCTTGCCATTGCTCCTGAGAGGTGAAAATGAAAACCAAAGGAAGCAAGGAGATTTAGATGTATAGTAGAAATTCTAATTCTATGAGTTATTATCTTCTTTGAAAGGATGTCATGGGATTGGCTGAAAAGTCAAATGTAGTTTTATAATAATTCCGAGGTCTTGGGTTTCTCTCAGATTGGACCAGTGAGCTTCAGTGTGGACAAGGCTAGAGACAATATCCTGAATAGCCCTCAGAAATATACACCTCTAGTCATAAGAGTTACTGGGCAAGAGAATTTGAATAGATTTACACAAATCCATTATTTCTGTTGGAAAAAGATTTCAAGCTTTATGTGTGTGTAGCTGGTGGTGGATCGTTAGTTTTATCTTCATCTCTGAAAAATGGCATTTTTTATTACCTGAAAGATGTCAGAAATACTGACTTAAAAGGACTCAAATTGGTTTTTTTTTTAAATAAAGAAATCTCATGATGCCTCAGTGCCTCTAAATATCTTAACATTGGCACAAAATAAGGTTTAGCATGGCTTTTAAAGTCTGTTCTTTGTTGTCTTTTAAAAGTTGGTTTGAATCAGTGACTATTTCCATAGTGGTGTGTTCTTGAAGATCTGTTAATACTAAAGATACAAAATAAAATATAATATCTATTTTTTTAATTTAAAAAAATTTAAAGTTTTTGTCATATTTTTAGTTTGCTTACTTTTAGTTTTTTGTCTTGTATTTGTCTTGAAAGATACTTGATTGTTTGAAAAGTGAAATACTGAATTTAAAAATTTTTAAATACCTAATTTGATCACTGCTTTCAGTTTACTAGTGTTTAAAGTGAATTAATTGTTTTAGCTTCATGTAGAGATTTTCTATACTACCTATTGTGAATGCATGGAAAGAATATTGTTGGAAGAGTTTTAAAAATGAAATTATAGCATTTTGGTTAGTCATTACTGGATATTTGAAGCATAGTTGTGGACATTAGTTTGTGGCTAAACTCTGAGCTAAAAGAAAAAAATATTATGTGTATGTAATCATACATATGATTTATCTTACTGTCCAGCAGATATGATTGAAGTACTGTTTGATAAGTTCATATTCTAGAAATTTTATAGGCAAAAGAAATCAGTAGATTTTTAGTGCTAAGGGACCCTCTGATTCCCATACTGCTTTATACCCTAGAATGATAAGTTAGGTCTAGAAAATACTCTTAAATTGTGAGGTTCTGATTCTAAGGACTTTAGCCTTAAAATTCCAAGATTAGGTTGCACACTTGCATCTTGAAATTTTTTGCTGAGGGAGTATTTCAAATTAAAACAAATAGTAAATATCAATCAACAGATTTTATACTTGTGTGACTAGGAAAATATGTATGGAGCATAAGTAATTCTGAATGCCAGTATCATTTGTAACTTCCTCTGTTAAATGAAACATGTTGATCACATTTGTGTTGCTATCCTTGACATGAGAGTTATTTAATGGGAAGCAAGTGAATTTTATTTTGGAATCCTGTTTGTTCGTTCACTGAGATGTCTATAGCAACTTGACTATTGCATATTTATAAATAAAGTAGTGGTACTTTTACATCTTTGGTTCCCCATTCTTTTGTAGGTATCCTAATCCACCTTCCTCTCAATTACAGACACAGTTTGGGCACATGGTAGTTCTTATTTTAAATAAACTTTATATTTCATGTGTTATTTCCCCTAAAATCTCTGTTTTTTCATCATTAAAATAAAATGCAACTTGAGGTTTTTATAATCAGGTATTTTTTTAGTAAGAATAGAATGTAGTTGTCTTGCAGTATTTAGAAATATAAAATAGAGTTGTATTTTGTAGCTAAACATTTTTCAAAATCTTATCGGTTCTATCATTTCTAATTAGTAAGTATGTAAAATTTTTGCAGAAAATTTGTTAAACCTTGCTGTGTAATGACCCAAGTCTACTTCTCAGTCAGTCTGTATCCTTCTTTGTTTAATAGCCTATGGCATAAATTGAAGTTAATTATCAGGGCTGACAAGTAACTCTGTTTTCTGTCTGCTTGCAGAGTCTCTCCGAGGCAAAGATGGAGCTGAGAAGAAAAGATCAATCTCTGCGTCAGCTCAATAGACATCTTACCCAGCTGGAGCAGGACAAGCGTCGACTGGAGGAGAACATCCATGATGCAGAGAGTGCCCTCCGCATGGCAGCCAAGTGAGCATTTGGGCCTTGGGGAGATCACTTAAAACAGAGAAAAGATCAATTCTTACTTTCATGCTCCGGGTTTTAGCCCTGGATAATACAGTGTTAGAAAACAAAAGTACAGCTGTCTTTCTTTGAAATTCTCTGATATATCCTCAAAAAAGAAAAACTCTTAAGTCAACATACTAACTGTGTTATTTTATTGAGAAAACTCAGAAAAGTATTAAGTTTCTATACAACCTCTAATGTGTTTCTGGGCTCTGTTGTAGTGTTGCATGTTTGAAATCATGTTTTCATTAACCTGAAATACCAAGATTCTTTAATTAAAAGTTTTGCACAGTTTCTCCTATCACTCACTCCTTATCCCTTCTGCCCCAGTATCCCCCCATTATATTATGATATACTGATATTGCAAGTAATAGTTACATAAAGAGATGTTAGTATACAGTCAACACGTCTGTCACAGCATCTTTTTAAGTGTAATTAAAACATACTGATCAGGGAAAATTCATTTACTTTTATAGCTGTATATTCCAATATGTTTAGTATAAAAAAATATATGTCTTCAGAGTGGACAGAAACAACATACAGGTTTCAGAGTGTAAATGTGATGGGAGTGTTTCTCCTTTTACCAGGTAATCAAGTTGACATACACTGTGAAGTTCAAATTGACCAGTTCTCTTGGGTATTTTTATTTGTTCCCCACATCAAATTTCATGGAATACTTTGACAGTCCTTTGTACGACAACATGGCTTAAAGAAAATCTATTTTATGGATTAAAGAAATCTAATTTTATAGAATCAGTGTTTTCTAAATTTGGAATTCTGGATTCCTGTACTTGTAAATATACATATATTAATTTAAAACTTCTTTGAGACAAATTCTCTTGTTAAGTATGAGATATCACGAAATATGAATATAGTCTATAAACTAAATTACAGAATGGGGAACCTGCAATCTTAGGCCATCTACAGGTTTGTTGGTGGGCTTAGGAAATTGCTTACACATAATGAAAAAATGAATTTATATAAGGTCAAAATATTGACATGTTTGAATACCCACCAATAGTTTTTTTGAAATTGTAAAGCTCATAACATTGCACTATCATATTAGGCATATGTGATTGTTATTTTCCAATAATTTGACTAAATCAACTTTTTGTTATCATTGTTCAGTCTCAGTCCCCTCATGTCAAGTGGACTTCTTAGCCTATGTAATCAGTAGTGCACCTTACAGCTCTGAAAATTCTAAGATAAATGAAAAGATTATAAAACCTCTGGATTCATATTGTGTCTTCAAAACATTGCTGCTAATTTGGGAATTTGTCATGTTTATTATCTGTGACCACAGGCACATAAGAAAGTTTATTTGAAATTTGGAAAGTTAATATGTTATTTATAGTTTTTATTTGTAATTACCATTAAATTTTTGTCCTCAGCATTTTCACCCAAATTTTCAATTTCATTATTAAGACCAAATTCTATACACAGGTCTGATAGAAGAAACTGGTAGCTTTGCATATTTCTAATCAAGGTCATAGAGGGGTTTTTGTGTATTTGTTACAGCACAAAAAGCCTATGTAGCAAACAAAATGTTACTTTGCATAGTATAGCCATTTATAATATATCTCTGTCAGTAAGTTTTTGAAAGTCTTTTTCATTCGAAACCAAAAGGGTAAAAGTTATAGCCTTTTCAGTAAATTTTAAATCAATAGTGTAGTCATGTTTTTTTCCTTATTTTTTCACTTTTTTTAAATCTTTGAAGATATCCTGAAGATTTTTTCCCCCTCATGTATGGTAGACAATATAACTGAAGATAAGAGTTAATTGTGGGGGCCCTTTTGTCCCCTCCTGGCATAAGCCAGAAGCTCTGTCCTCTCGCTTTATCTTTAAATAAAAGCCTCTGCCTTCCTCTCCTAAAAAAAAAAGTTAATTGTGGAAAATATACCAGTGAATATGATTGAATAATACACTTTTAGAAGTATAATGATAATCCTTATTTTCAATAATAGTGACTTATACTGAAATGTATAACAGTTGTCATAAGGCTTGGGTTTTACTAATACCTAATATTTATTTTTTCTCTAGAGACAAAGAATGTGTTGCTAATCATATGAGAACAGTAGAAAATATGCTTCATAAGGTACCCTAATTTTCTTCAATATTGTTCAACTTGTATTTATGACCCTGTTCTCTTAGCCATTAGTTTTATTAACTGCAAAGTACTTTAATTCATTTTGTGGCTTTTTTTAAAAGTACATCAAAAGAGAAATGACTGAAAATTTATATTATATAATGCTATATTACATAAGATTTTTCAGAATTCACTTTATGGACTTGATAAAATTATGAGAAAAGTGGTTTCCCCAAACTGGCATAATTGCACTGTATGGTTATTTGTGGTCTTTGCTGACTGAACCGGAGGTCACTAAAATACGTACATGTCTTAAAATGATAAAATGTTTGACCTCACTGTCTAACCTCTTACCACTCTTAAGCCTGCCATCCTATGTATGTGTGTATATGTGTATATGTATATATATATATATATATATATATAGAAAGAGAGAGAGTGAAAGAGAGTTACATAAATCGTCATGAGTATTTGGAATTGATCAGTCATTATAAAAGAAGTTATCATTTACCTTATTAAAAGAATATGTTTTTGAAGTAGGAATTAAATATATTTAATAATAGTCTACTATTTTTAAATTTGATTACTTCTGTATGATGAATTGACTTTTAATCTATAGTGATGAGCAGCATAATGACATGATGGTATTACTAAAAACTTAATATATTAACCAACTATGTATTTTGTTAGCACTCTGGATTCAAAGATGTTTTTGTTATTTCACTATTAAAGTAGAGAAATGTTACTTGTTTCTGTTATTGTCTAATAGATAATTTTTTGAAAATACAAATCCCTATACTTTTAAGATATATGAAATTATGATTAATCATATTTAGAATAATTTTGTGAATAAAATTTTTTTTATTTATAATTTATTAATCACTTAAAGTACTAAAAAAATGAATCCTTTTAAGGAGATATTAAACATTAGCAAACTAATATTTAATAGATTTTAACATTTTAGAAGCTCTTGGCCTATGTATTCTTTTAGATATTTAAAGTTACTAGCATTATTTCATATCACCAAAAGTATTTTGAAAAAAGACTACTATTCTGAGTGCCATTTTTAAAGTAATTTTGTTTGAAACTGATTTCTCAGTGTTTAAAGAAGTTTAGCCAGTCAGTATAGTTTAGATACAGTCACATCAAATACATACATACTAGAAATCTGAAGTTTAGATTGGTAAGAAAAGAGACACTTTCATTGAGGTTCTTTTTTATTTGGTGAGACTTTGGGTATGGAAAATCAATTATGTCAGATATATGGCATACCTTTTTATACAGTTAGTGTTGCCTTTGAAATCCAGTTGTTTGTACATCTTCCCATCTAGAAGGAAGATAAAGAAATGTTGGATTGCAGCTGTCTTGGGGAATAGACTTTAACATCAGAGAAAAACCATCATCAATATAAAATGTAAATGTACCTTATCCTTTCGTTATGAGAATGGCAAAATATAAATTTAAGTATAATAAAACTGATTGCAACAGAACAATTATAATCATGCAGTTCTTCAGTCGCAATTCATCTTTTGATTTTTTTGTCATGTGGAAGGATGTCTGAAGAATTGGCCTAAAGCCACTGTAGATTTACTTTTGCTTTATGGCTTCTCTTTTTCCCCTTTCAGATTTAAGAGTTAATTATTTTGATTAATGCTTTGGAAATTTCTGTTTATATACTGGTTTTAAAATTACTTTTCAAGCTTGAAGGACATGTAGGAATAGCTAATTGCTTATGATTATTGGGCTAATTCTCTTTTCTACAAAGTTTGGGTGAGAAGCAGTGGGTAATCAGGAAGTGGCCTGAGGGTCCCTCTGAAGCTCTCAGCAAGCTGCAGCTCACTGGTTTTCATGGCACAGGTCACAGGTCACAGGCTTATTTTTCTGGAAACCTTGGTCTGTTGAGTGGCATTTCACTGTCTTGGAGGAACTCAGAGTAGTATAGAGGGAGGTTCTAGTTTCTTTCATGCTACAGTAAAAATAGCTATGGTCACACCCAGATTAGCACCATTTTCTGTATATAGCCAAATATATAACTATTTATATTTCTCAAGCATGTGTGTTTTCAGGGTATGCACTAGTTATTCTGGAATAAAACTTATTTTTACCTGCTGAATCAGATGTTAATACTAACTTCTGACACAATAATAGAAAGAACTTGTTTATGTAGACATTATTTCTTTTCTTATGCTTTGGAGAACTTAAACTGAGTATATTTGTTTTTAGGAAAAGCAATTACATTTTGTTGATATTTGTTAATTTAAAAAAATTTTTAAAATTGACACATTACATTCATCTTTTCAAAAGTAGTTGACTGGATGTTCCTTTTTAAATCCTATTTGGGACTGATGCTAGTATTTAAAAAGGAAGACCAGCCATTTTTGTTTAAAGCATGTACTAGTTTTCAAAGATACATTAGTTTTATTTGAATTGCTTTTGGATATATATGTTTTTTATTTATGGCCATTTTTAATGTATGCCAGAAGTTAACTTTTATTAAGAAACATTTTTGGGCTATCAGGTATTTTGAGGTTAAGAAAAATAAGAACAAGAGAAAACAAAATCCTCACAACTTTCCATGAGGTGTACTTTTCATGGACACATTTCTCTAGTTGAATTCTCAACTGCTGTTTGTATTTTGGAAAAAACATAACTAATTCCAGAATATTTTTAACACCCTAAAAAGAAATTTAGTAGCCATTTTGCAGTCACTTCAAGACCCCTTTATCACATTGTGTGGATTGACTTTTACTTTATTTAATAGTGTCCTTTGATGAACAGAAGTTTTTAATTTTGATGAAGTCCATTTGTTTTTTTGTTGTTGTTGCTTGTGTGTTTGGTCTCATATATAAAAATATGTTGCCAAATCCAAGGTATGAAAGTTTCCCCCTATGTGTTCTTAAAAAAGTTTTATAGCGTTCATTTTTATATTTCATCTTTGGGCCATATTGAGTTAATTTTTTATATGGTGAGATGCAAAGATCCAACTTCATGGCTTTTCAGTTATCCCTGTGCCCCCTGAATTCCATTATCTTGGTACTATTGTTGAAAATCAGTTGACTATAGATGTATGGGTTTATTTCCAGACTCTCAGTTCTATTCCACTGATCTACATGTCTAGCCTTAGAGTAACCACCCTGTTTTGGTCACTGTAGCTTTGTAGTAAATTTTGATATCAACAAATGTGAATCCTTGAATTCTGTTCATTTTTCAAGATTGTTGTGGCTTTTCAGGGTCCTTTGTAATTCCATGTGAATTTTAAGATCAGCTTATCCATTTCTGAAGAAGGCAGAGTAACTCATTTCCTTGAGATTTCTTCTTTTAACTATTCATTATTTAATTGCAAAAATTTTGGGGCATTTTCTAGATACCTTTTTACTATTGAATTGTAATGTAAATCTGTATGGTATGAATAGATACTTTGTTCTCAAATTTTTTAAATTTATTAAAGTTTGTTGTGTGGGCCAGAATATGGTCTTTCTGTCTTGGTGAATTTTACATGTGCAGTTAAAAAGAATGTATATTATGTAAAATAGTCTTAAATTTCTATTGTGTCTAGTTAGTTTACAGTGTTGTTCAAGTCTTCTAGTTCCTTGGTTATCTTTTATATAGTTCCATTCCTTAATGAAATGAGATTTTGAGGTTTCCACTACTGTTGAAATATTTCTCCCTTCAGTTTTATCAGTTTTTGCTTCATGTATTTTGGGATTCTTTTGTTAGGTGTATATATATATATATATATATCTGAGAACTGTTATGTTTTCTTGGTGGATTGACCCTTTTGTCATTATAAAATGTCTTTCTTTATCTTTTGTCTGTTTTGCATGGGAGTAGTATAACTACTCCAGTTCCCTTTTGGTTACTGTTTATGTGGAATACTTTTTTCTATCTTTTACTTTTAACTTTCAACCAATCTGTGTCTTTGTATCAAAGATGTGTGTTTTATAGACAGTATATAGTTGAATCATTTTTTAAAAATCCATTCTGCCAATCTCTGACTTAATTGGTGAGGTTTACATTTAAATATAATTAGTGATAAGGAAGGACTTCTGCCAGTTTTCTTTTTTTCTATATGTATTTTACTTATATTGTTCCTCAATTCCTATGATAGTCCCTACCTTTTTTGTGTTAGATAAAGCTTTTGTAGTATAACATTGAATTCCTTTCTCCTTTGTTTTATTACATATTTTTAGTTACTTTCTTAGTGGTTGCTTTGGGGGTTACCTTTAACATAATTCATCATAGTCTAGTTTGAATTAATACCAACTTAGTTCCAATAGTTTGTAAATACTTTGCTCCTGAATAGCTCTGTTTCCTTTAAGCTTATGTTTATACAAATTATATCTTCATACATTGTGTGCCCTGCAACATAGTTTATAATTATTGCTTTATGTAGTTGTCTATTAAATCATGTAAGAAAAAGAGGTGTTACAAATCAAAAGTACATTATCACTGACTTTTATATTTTCCTATGTAGTTTTCTTCACTGGTGTTCTTTTTTTCTTTGATGTCAATTTGAGTTACTGTCCAGTGTCCTTTCATTTCAGGCTAAAGGACTTTCTTTCTCATTTCTTATAGAGCAAGTCTACTGATAATGAACACTCCCAGCTTTTGTTTATTTTAGAATGGGTTAATTTCTCCTTCATTTTTGAAGAATATTTTTGTTGGATGTAGAATTCTTGGTTGACATTTTTTTCCCCGCCTAGTCAGCACTTTGAATGCATCAACAACTCCAGAATTTCTGTTGGGCTTCTTTTTATAGTTTCTATCTCTTTATATTTTCTACTTTTTGGGAAGACATTGTTTACATGGTTTCTTTGGTTCTTTGTACATGGTTTACTTGAACTCTTTCAGCATATTTTAAATAATTGATTTCAAGTCATCATGTGGTTAAATCCAATGTCTAAACTTTCTGAGGGACAGCTTCCTAACTTCTGTTTTCCTTGCATATGGGCCATACTGTATTATTTCTTTGCAAACTTCATAATAACACAATATGGAAACTCTGGAAA